GTTGTATGGACATGAAAAGAATTGCTCAGATTCATGGGCCTTGGCCTTAATAGCAGAGCTTGATCAATTTAAGAACCAAAAGTCCACGCCTAAAAATCTTGTCGCCTGTTCTGTTGAAATTGATATGATGGATGATTTTCTGGAGATGGAGCGCCTTGCCGCGTTACCAGAAATTAAGAATGGCATTTCAAGTGTTGATTCTGCCGGAGAATCCACTTCTAGTGAAAAATCACTGAGCGATGAGCTTGAAAGAATGACTCATCGGGTAGCTCAACTAGAGGAAGAGTTAGAGAAGATAAAAACAGAGAAATCGAAGTTGGAGAATGCTTTAGATGAGACTCGAGATTCACTCAATAAATCTAAAGCTCAACTGGCAGAATCTGAAATGAAGATTGAAGAGATACAAAGGGAGCTGGGTATGGTGAATGAAGCGAAGGAGTTGCTTGAATTTCAACTAATTGGTATGGAAGTTGAAGCACGGACCATGTCATCGAATATCGTTTCGCTGAATGCAGAAATTGAGATTGAACGAAATTCATCAGCAGAAATGAAACTGAAGTGTCAGGAATTGGAGAATGAATTAAACAGTAAAAACGGGGCGACTGAGATTCAGCATGATACAAGCTCCAATGGTGAATTGAAACTAAAGCAGGTTGGTTTCTTGAACCATCTATACATATTTTATTACCATAGACAAAAGAAATGTTAACAGGCATCAAATAAATAAGCCCGTCCCATCTTTATTAACTTAAACTATTAGAAGAGGAGATTCAATACAATATTAGAGCATGCGGACATGAAACTTATGCACGTGGTTGGGGGGGTGGGGGGGGGGTGTTCGAAGCCATATTTTAAATAAATAATTTTGTCGAGTCTCTAACAGCTTAAACTTTTAGACTTGGTGGTTCGACAAGGTACAAAATTATGAGCATTGAAACTTTGTTTGTTGCAGGAGGACCTAGCTGTAGCTGCTGATAAGCTTGCAGAATGCCAGAAAACAATCGCGTCTCTTGGAAGACAGCTTCAATCTCTTGCAACATTGGAAGATTTCTTGATAGACACTACAAACCTACCTGGATTTTCTAGAGGACCGCTGGTTTCTGGTACCAATGGAGATTTATGGAGGATGCACTTAAACGACACATTTGTCTCAAAATGTGATTCTGATCCTGCAAAAGCGCCGCGAGATAATTCTACTCCTTTGATCAACGGGAGCAATGAGGAATCGCCAGCATCTTCATCTTCTTCAACATCATCGGCTAATCCCACTTCCGGTGGGAAGACTAGAAATGGTTTCAGTAAGTTTTTCTCTCGTACGAGGAGCGGGATTGAACTTGAGAATCATCAAGGATAGCAAGAGCATGGTATTTTTCTCCTTGTAGGACATAAATATTGGTTATAGAGATGCCAATTAAATTCTTTTTGATTGGCATTGTATTCCTTATATGGACAGTGATGTCTGGGAATATTGCAGTCCCAACAGCTGCTTGAATTTTTCAAAATGTATGTTGAATTTCCTTGGCTTTGGTGTAATTATTTCTTATTTAGGGAAGGATCACAAAAATACCACACATAATCAGAAAACTAAAATCTTGTTTATTATATTGTTTACTTTTGCATTTCAAGCATAGCTTAATCCGCACCTAGACTTACTAACTTAAACTGCTATATCGAATTAGCTAAGGGGAGTGTATTCAATATGAATTTTAGAAGATTTTGATGAACTTTTTTTAAGTGATGATTTATGTGGATTTCGTGGATTTTTTTTAGAGATTTGTATAGAATTAGTGGAAGTCTTTTGTAGGCTTTTATAGACTTTCATTTAAAAAAATTTATAAACTTATGTAGAATTCAAAAAACTTTTGAAGACTTTTATTTGAAATAGAATTCATGTGGATCTGGTACAATATTGTGAAATTATCACATACGAGGTGGTGGTTCTCACAATTTCCCTTCTCCTTCCCCGCCTCATATAATAAAAAATGTATATTTTTTAAAAATAAAAATTTAAG